GGTTATTTGCAGGCGCAGCAGGCTATAGCTGTATTAGTCGTGAAAATTCTTAAATTTTCGGTTTAGCAGCAATTTGAACCCAAGTTGAACAGCAATTTGAGATATCGATTATTATAGTTTATTCTTTCATGGCGCTACATATTCATATTGAAAAAATGGTAGCTTAAATTCCCTCCTCATTCGGAGTCCAGATTTGCGCGGACATAAAACGCAAAAAGGCTATTAATTCCATATATACTAGTATACATGAAGTTCTCGGTGTAAAATTCCATTTTCCTTTTTTGCGATTTTTCTTTAATTTAATATGGAAGTACCTACCGCCATGGGCGCCATCATAAATTTTAGCCGGGCAACGCAATTAAAAAAAATCTACATTGTAGAATTCATCAAAAAAAAAAAAACATCTGGCTGGCAACCCTGGAACAGTTATTGTACAAATTTTTCATTAATCGCAATATTGACACATTTTTTTAGGATAAACCTTCATTATTCAGAAGTTATTCAGCGGTGGTCTATGTAGTTTGTGTTTGTTGTGGCGTGAGGTTGCACTTTATACGCACCTAATATGAAGAACTGATTCGTTCTCTTGATTTCACGGTTAAAATGTATGATAAATTAACAAATTGATCTCGGCGCTGAAGTGTAGGCCTGATGTGGCCTGTCGCCGATTTTTGTCCTTTTCGCGCCTTATTCACAGAAGATCTAAAATCGTGTCATTTGGCCGGATCTTTTCATGACTGACGATAGTTGGAAGTAGCTACGAACTTGGAGAAATAAATCAAATCTTATTTCGGTGCGCCATATGCTGGTTTTTACGACGGTACTAGACTTCCACCGGGTTCGATTTGGTGCTAAATTCTCGGCGATGAATCCTCTCAAACCGATTTTTAAAAATTAACAGAGTTATACGATTTAAGTCTCTTATTTGAATTAAGAAACAAATTTTGAGAAGTAAGTGCCTGAAGCCAATCGCAACTTCACAGCCTGCAGCTCCAACACTCCTCCAGCAAAGCAATTCAGCTGTATTTCCTGAAAACATACTGACTGACGGACTAAAATACATAAACCACCCCCTCCATGTGCAGTCCTATTGGCCCACAGACAATCACACTTTCGGTTTTGCTCACCGGTCGGACTTCGGGAACCTGCTGCAGGACATTTGGTCTGCAGCTTAGTGGGAAGTCCGAACAGATGTTTAATTGGAGAATCATTCAGTCGGTTTATTTATTATCAAAAGAAATAATTCACATCAGTAAGAAAACTCATCTAATTTTCTTTGTAAGGCTTTTAAGACTAATTTTTCGTCGGCTTTGAATTGAAGAATATTTTTGGTATCTTTTTCGTCAAACGATATGATTAGCGGTTCAATGTTGGCGGGAATGGCAACACCGTTCGATTTTGGCAATCGGTTTAAATGCCCGTGCAGTCGTTGGCTGTCCATTTAACGTTAAGTTCTGATGTAGTATGCGTGGTCAGCAGGCTTTAGCTTAGTTAACGGAACATTTTCGCCTATCTCAAATAGTTTACGAATCAGATTCTTCTCTAACCATGGCGTCAAGGAGCATAAGCTTTAGAAATCAGGTAAGCTACGCTTTTAGGCTTATTTGTTTCTATTTGAATCTAAGTTTCTAACTAGCATACCATAGCACAATCACTGAATCAGCTGACAGGTCTAATATATGTTTCGTATTTTGCCGATGCCGAGCAACCGATGGTGATACTCAATGGTCAAGTAATTTATTAGATTATAACATTCGTTTATTTGCTTTCTAATGAACATTGCTACAATTTTTTACGAAGTTGTGATGGTATTTTAAGTGAAAAAATTTAGTTTCAAATCACTTTCAATGCCTCTAACTCTAAGTCTAACAACAATACGCCAATAACGGGTAACAGCCGATATTTTGTATCGTGAATTTGTGATTCAGACATAATGAGCCCTAGCCAGATAGCCATCTATGCATTGGTTGCATCCAGCGTTTTAACTTCAAAGTTCAACATGAATAGATAAAAAAAGTATAGGCTAATAACTAAAATTTATCGAAATAATTTTTAAGTAGATGGATTTTGCACTAAATTTGCTGGCTTGTTCTTGATGCTTGTCAATGAAAAGCAGCAAAAGCTTGTATATTTTATAAATATGCACCTGTTGAGTGTTGAACTTTGAAACACAATTTTTTTCAGCTATGGAATTAACAAATAAATATTGCAATGCTGCTAAAATCTTATATTTGTAAAATTTTGTTTTACCTACATATTTTTATAAAATGTAGATGGAGACCAGACAACTTGAGACAAGCAAAGTGCAATTATTGGCATAGTAACAAACCAGCAACTTTTTATAATAAAAATATAATGATAGCGGTGTCAGCATCATTTAGTAGGCTGTAGGCCTGTTGCCAATTTTTAAAATCACAGAACATTTACACTTCACAGCATTTTGCAGTCTCAAACTTGCAACTCACTGCTACAATTCTGCTGTGCTTACCTGCCTGGCCTCCTTGCCGATTCTGACCAGTAACTGACGCACAGAGGTGGGATCGAACCCATGCCTCTCTGTGCCAATCTTGGTAATCTGAACTGTAACCACTGGGCTACCCAGAATTTTTTTTAGAATATTTTCTTTTGTAATTTCCTCATTTATTCAAATTTTAAATCAATATTATGTGTATGATAATGCTGGTATCTATGATACTTTCCTGGTCTACTCATAGGACTCGCAATTGAAGTTGAAGCAGAGTCTAAAAACTCTGCTTTTCTGCTATGATTCTAGGAGCGGTAGTACTGATTGGTCTTGGTGAAGGGTGTACGGTTTTGGTTACCCACCCTTCGGGGGAGTAGGTAGTGACTGACTGGAGCCAGGACTTCTGTCTGACCAAAGTTATGAATTGAATTTGCAATCAAAGATAAATATTTGCCTAAAATTCCTATATTAAAAGCAGAGTTAATTTTCTATAAATAATGATTTTTTATATATCATATTTAGCATGAAGTATAACTTTTCATTTGTCAAAGTAGCATGTTGGAGCAAGTTGTCATTTTCTTGGGGTTGACAGAGCAATACAATACAATGTACGCATCTACAATACAATTAAAAAAATAATTGAATAGTAAAATATCTTGCTTACTTATGTGGGTTGCAAAATGTCTACAATGACTGACAAAATACAATGACCTACTTTTGTATGTTGCACAGTAACCTACAACCTGACTCCAACTCAAGGACACGTCACTCCTTAATTCATATTTAAAGCTTCAGAGCTCATGCCACTTGTGCAAATGACCTTAGAAATGTGTATCTCTAGATGTTAGAACTACTGCATATCATAATAAAAAATATTCACAATAAAAAATACTTTCAATAAAAGATACTCGCAATTGAAATAGTCACTATATCATAAATACTCACAATCTAAAATAGTCATAATAAAAATACTCACTATTTTTTTAAATAAAAATACCCACAATCAAAATTTCTTGTAATCAAAAATACTCTCAATTGAAAATACTTGCAATTAAAAATTGTACACTTGGGCACTTGGGCCTGAAGCAATTAAAGAGTTGGAGGCAGGATCTTGCGGTAACATCACATGCGCCACATATTGCGTGCAACCTCGCATGCTATATGTTGTAAAGCAAGGATTCTTAGAAACGTTTTGTGGGCCATTCTTGACTTGAAATATGCTTTAATGCTTGATGAATTTTATAAAATTCTATAATTATTATTATTTAATACTTGTTATTGTTGGATATAGACAAATGAACTTGCGGCAAAGTAATTTGATTCTTTCTATGTTAATTTTCTCATATGGCTGTAGCTCCTAGAAAACTTTTCACAGATAGACTTTGTTGCATAATTTTAATGAGGGAATTCATGTGATGTTAGTTTTCTCATTTCTGCTGATGAATTTCACTTGTAATGAAGCATGGAAATATGGGGATACAACTTTTATGATAATTTAGAAGTGTAAACACATGTCAAGTTCTTTGCATTAGCAATTGATGTCAATAAACTTTTGTAGACCATACACTGAGTGGACTGATTGGTTCTAACAATGGTTTTGAGTGACAAATACAGCCAAATTATAATTTATTTAACAATTGTAGATGATAAGAGAGATACAATGAAGTTTCTCAATGTCAACAGCATAGAAAGTAGAAACCCATATGGAAATATGAATTTTGGATATTATTTAGGCAACTAATGACTTAAAACCTGACTTCGAGACCGCCTTTTATTTAGAAAAAATTCAAATTTGCTGAGGTGGCTGCCTGCCAATGTTATCTCTATTGTTTATGTAGTAGGCTGTTGGCTCTTGTTTAAGGTGTTGCAAGTGTGCTGTGGATCGGTCCATAAAGGAACATTGATCGGTTGAAAATCTCAAAATACTGTTCTTTTATATTAAATATAGAATTGCACTATGGAGACTAGATCATAATAGATGCTTAGAAGAACACTCGTATTTGTTGTAAATTTTTTCACAGTAATTACAAACAATGGGCCACTTTGCTGTAATTTGGTATTATTCCAGCCAACTGTGTTTAATGATAATTGATTAGCTCAAAACTTTCTAAGTCTGTCATGAAAAAAATTCTTACTAAAATATTGAATCTCAATTGCATAATTTGAGCCAATTTCATTGCTTCAATATCATTTGTTATTATTTTAATTTTTTATTAGATAATCATGGCTTACAAATTTTGCTGTTGTGTAGAAGTGTCTGACTAAATTTCCTCACCCAAAAGTTATTTGTTAATATTCTTTTATCATTCGTGTAGGAGTTACTGTTATTACAGTATTTTTGCCAATAAAATAATTTATAACATAAAATTTTTAAATGTTAAAAGAAAAATTACCTTAGTACTTGTCTTCTTGTGTCTAATAAAAGATATTTTTGTTGTTATAGTAAGATTAAAATAGCAAATTTTACATTGAATTTTTTTGCTTAACAAATGAGTTACCGTAGTAGATAAAATTTTCTTTTCCATAGATGAATTTTGTTTTCCATAGATGAATTTTGTTTTCCATAGATGAATTTTGTTTTCCATAGATGAATTTTGTTTTTCCCATTGATAAATTTTGTTATGAATTTTGTTTTTCACGCCTCTCAAAAATGGATTTAGAGCTTAAAAACGCAATTTGCAACTGAGCATATTTTCCAGCTGCAAAATGGATGAAATTGTTTTAAAAACCTACTTGTGGCTTGGAGCAAACTAGAAGAGTGTAACCAGTTTTTAGAGGTAAAAATGTGCCTTATTTCAATCTCAACATATATATGAAAGGCTTATACAGAATTTTGAAACTCACCGAACGAGAGGTAATTAGATTCTTGATGCATTGTCAGTTACACTGGAAGTATAGATATTAAGCATTTTATCCATTTTAACCATTTGTGTGGCTAATTACTACTAATTTCATGTTCTCCAGAATGTGAGCCGCAATGAAAATGTGGCTGTTAAGAAAGTGGCAAAGCTAGTCTCTGGTCCTACAGTCAAGAGGGCTGCCCTGGGAGACATTGCCAACAAGGCTGCTGTGGTGCAGCGTTCTGCAACAGATGCAAGCAAACTAAAACAAAATGATACTTTTAAGAAGCCTTTGCAGCCAAGAAACAAAAATATAAAAAATGAGTAAGTTCAATCTAGAATAAGGCTTGTCTCTCAAAATTTCCTGCTCTTTAAGATAAAAATGAGGATGAAAATGTTGTGCATGCTTTTGAGTTTTAAAACTAAAATTGAATTTTAAATTTAGTATTTTGATAATAGTGCATATTTTCTTTCATTAGTCATTCATACTCTTTCAGAAACTTTATTATCAGCATCATGTTTGATTGCTTATGTATAGGTTTCAAAAACCCTTTGAAATGTAAATTCAAGGCTGATCACCTCACAATTATTATTTTTGAAAATTACTACAAAACTATAAATTAATTTGAATGTTTTCCCTGTGTACTTGTGAGTGTTCCTATTCTGATTGAATAGTAAGTTAATCTAAACATAAATTTTTTTCAGAAATGTACCTTCAAAAATCGTACCCAGTGCCAAGCTTGAGGCTGTTGACGAGTGTTCCATGGTGTCGGTGGATACCAGCTGCTCGGTGCCTCAGGACATGTCCGTTGTTGAGCACGAGCCTGTGAAAGAAAGTAGCTCCAAAGACACGTCTAATGTTCAGCCCCTTAGTGACAACTGTGTGCAGGACCTCTCAGAAGCATTCTCTGCTAAATGTCTCACTGTCACAGATATTGATGCTGACGACAAAGACAACCCTCAACTTGTATCGGAATATGTCAATGAAATTTATGCCTATATGAGGTCACTTGAAGTGAGTAAATCTAATTGAGCCTTATTTAAGAAGTTTGATTTATTGTTGACAATAGAGATGGCAACTGATAAGATTATCATTATCCATCTGCTGTCTTCTCTTTTGGGTGTATATGTAGTTCAAGATATCTATTTAAAAAACTTCTATAAGCTACCTCCAAATAATACCTCTATGGCAATGTTGTTGGTGAACTTGAGTACTCACTATCTTCAAGTTTAAAACCTAATTTAATACTCAAGGTTGCAACATTGTGGTTAATAATATTATTTCCTTCCATATCTTTCAGGCTAAATGTCTCTTGAAAATCAATTCATACATCAATTAATTTTTATTTGAAGTATGCCATTCGCCTCAAATATTCATGTCCAAGTATTAGATACTACCTATAATGCTAGCATCATAATTGACACATTTTATCTGCATGAGTATTTATTGTGCAGATCAAGAATTGTGTGCGTAGACGCTACTTGGACGGTCACACTGTGACGCCACGGATGCGTACCATCCTCGTGGACTGGCTGGTCCAGGTGCATATGCGCTTCAACCTCATGCAGGAGACCCTGTACCTCACCATGGCCATCTTGGACAGATACCTGCAGGTGATGTCTCTTCAATTTTAATAATTTATTTAGTTCATAACTCGTGAGGCATTGAATAGTGGGATTGTCTTACAACTATAATTAGCAGTTTTTAGAATAGTTTTAATATTTTAATTCGTAATATGTTTGAGCCTGATTGATGAGTAAGATGATATAATTGTCAGTTGAATCACAATTTCTGTCTATGAACCTTAGACTCAAAGTCTGCTACAATTGAAATTAAAAATTAGTAATTAATATTCTTTTGTAAACCAGTATCCCTGATTTGACACGCTTGTTGTTTGCAGCTGATGCCCGACACTCCCAAAGAGGAATTGCAGTTGGTGGGTGTGACGTCCATGTTTATCGCTAGCAAGTACGAGGAAATGTACTGCTCGGAAATAAACGACTTTGTCTTCATCAGTGACAAGGCTTATACCAGGCAACAGATCCGAAAAATGGAAATCCAGATACTCAAGAAACTTGACTACAACGTCTCAATGCCTCTGCCCTTGCATTTCCTCAGGCGCAACAGTAAAGCTGCCAAGGTGAATTTACTGTCATGTGATGAGTTTGCTGTCATGTGATGAGTTTGCTGTCATGTGATGAGTTTGCTGTCATGTGATGAGCTTGCTATTATGTGATTGCTTACATTACCCATCAAATGTTCGTCTACGTGATGCAATTCATTCTTTGGTTAAAATCTTTTTCTAAACGTACGCTGTTAATTATGAAAGTCCACCAATCATCCAATTGAAGTTCTTCCCTTACTGCAAGATTAATCATTCAGCGTTGATAGAATTTCTTATCTTCACTATAAATGCCTGAAGTCGTATGAATTGGCTTATAACTCTTAGTTTAAAATATCTTAATATTGACAACATGTAGTTATAATAAAAGTGCTTCGCGATTTTATGTATGAACCGGTCTGATATCACGCAATAATATTTTCTTAGTGAAGTAGTATTTTAACGTTTAATTTGCACGGATTAATATTCTCATAGGTGGACGGAACTCAGCACACACTAGCCAAGTACCTCATAGAGCTTTGTCTGACGGAGTACAACATGTGTCACTTCAAGGCTTCACAACTTGGTGCCGCTGCCCTCTTCTTGACGCTCAAGTGAGAGTAGCCACTTATTCATTGCAGTATCAATGAGGCTTAATTTTGTGGGATGATTGTAGTATTTGTGCATGATATTAGCTACATAAAGTCATGTATGGACCATGAGAATATTAGGCTGAAAACTTCGTAACAAATAAATTCGGAAGTATATTTGATGCATTTGAGCCTTTTCCAAGGGATGTCTCTTGGCACTAACTAACCATATAAATGCTCAAAGCCATTGCAAACCTCATGGATATGGCTAAATTGTGACTAAGTTGTTTGCTTGTTATCCACAGACTGACTTGTGACGACCAATGGAGCGACACTCTTACGTACTACTCTGGCTATAGTGACGCAGAACTGATGCCTGTGGTGTGCAAGATGGCTCAGGTTGTGCTGCGCTCGTACAAAGCTAGTCACCAGGTGACGTACTGTGCCAGACTATTTTGTCTACAAGATTACGCTTCTACATGCTTTCTTATAGGAATTAGTTATTCAAAACGTAACATATGGAATTTTCCACTAGGGGTCTGTGTTTTTGGACTCTTCAAGTTTTCAGTGAAGAAAAGTTGTTGACGGTAAACATTTGTTAGCGTATAGAATCTGATGTTGTGTAGATTTTCATACGTCTTAAAATACTTGGATATTAATGCCATGAAGAATGAACTGCGTGGTATTCTTTACTTCGTAGAGAAATTCTTGAAAATTCCTTTATCTCCAAGGTTTCTTCCAAAATTTGAAACAGAGCTGTCAACAGCGATGTTGTCAATTGCAAATTAGATTATCATTTTTTCCGTTTCCTAGTAGTAAATAGGAAAATAACTTAAACTCGAACTGTTTTTTTACATTCATATTGTGTACGTAATTTATATCGCTCGGAATTTATTTCCTAACTGCTTTGTTTCCAGGCCACCGTTCAGAAATATCGTTCGAGCAAAAACCTGAAGATCAGTGAATGTCCGGAGCTGACTGGGCCAGTGATCCGATCGCTAGCTGTGAAGGCGGCCACGTACTCCTAAACTAGAATTGCTTACATCCTGACGCGCGCATCTCTGAAGAACTAACATGTCTCAACTTTATAGTGACTTCTTAGGATTGACTAAGCGCTTGTAGATTTCATAACGATATCTAATCAGTTATTATCGAACCAGTGCGTCTAATTTTATCAAATAGTCATTTTGGCTAAGAAACTTGCGATTTGTATACTACTATCTGCCGAACTTCGTTTGGATTTTTTTAGTGTGGACCAGGAACTCTTACTGAAATGCACGTAGTGGTGAAACGCTTAATTTTAACTTTGCCATCTTGCCAGTATTTGCGCGGCTGCTGTTGCCTCAGTGTTCAGATTGTGGGATTAGGTTAATATGATGGATTCTTGGAATCTTTTAATTCCTTTTACAGCCTTTGAATGTACAGTTTTTTGTGCTCGATTCCGGCTTCATCTCGTGCGAATGATACGCGTCAATAAATTACTCCTGAAAGACGTTATGAATCTTTGAAGGCATTATTCTGCTTATGTAAATTTAAGTCTACGTACAAATTTTCTCATAGCTCCTTAGGAAAGTGGGAATCAAATTGAACTAACGAATGTTTGAAAGTATGCCGCAATGTCATAATGGCTGATGTTTGCGTAGATGGTAGCTCAAGCCAAACATTCTTCGCCCTCAGAGCTAATTGTCTGAGGATGCTTCAAAATACGAGTGTACTTATATCGCTTACTCTCTCTATATTAGACTTTGCCTAGCTTTGAAGACGAGTAGGTTTATAGCTTGTGGCCACGCTAGTTGTGCATCGTTGTTCAAATAAAAATGCGTATTGCTAAGGTGTGCCAACTTTTGGTAATTACGGACTTTGTAACTATGTTAACGAGACGCGTTTTAGAGCGGTCTTCCAGTCACGTATGAATATATAAAGGACTATATTTTGTATACATGGATCCTCTTCGTGATATGTAATGGAGCTAATCAAACATTAGGATTTCTGTCTACGGAGATGGTCAGCTGACCAGGTACCTATTTAATTCAGTTTTCTTCATAGCAGTTAGAGAATGATTTTAACTTGCATCTAGTAAGGCAGTGTTTTGCTGGCGCTGAAAAGATCAAATGGAGCTGCAACCTCGGTGAAGCTACAACTCAGTTTTCCGATATGATCTCACTTTTGTAGAAGGTTTGCTATAAAATCGTATGAATTTGATCCATTTCGCAAAGTTCACCTCGTTTGCACCGGCAGTTTTTACCAGCAACCCAACATGAAATAGAAGGAAGTATTGCCTGCTAACGGGAGCTTTAAGTCATTATTTTAGGTCGGTTGATACCTTGCCGTGTCTCGTCTGAAAAACATTTTAATTTCTCCCTGTGCTTTTGTACCGTTTTCATGATAGCGTATTTATGACAGTTTATTTATCCCTGCAAACCTAGTACGTGGGATTTGTTCTCGCTTGCTTTGAATGCAGGATATTTCGCGCTATATGTCATGCAACGAGTAATTTGAATTATGTAGTATTTTAGTTTTATGGACTGCCTTTCTGTTCATTTTATGTGATGAATATCATTTGAGGTGTTAATTATTGTACACCTGTTTTAGAAAGACACTCTTATACGAGATGATCATCGTTAAGTTGTGATGTATTTTGACCCACTAGATGGACGTCAATAAAAGTTGCTGGAAGTATAATAATTATTTTTACCCGGGTTTTTATTACACTTTCTCGGATTCCGCGGCGTAGTTTCATTACTAGAATGAACTGCATTGCATGTACGCTATTAACGTCTCCACATGTTAATAGAAACTGCCCATCAGGGGGAACTTCTGACGCGTGTCTGTGCTCGTCAGATATCCTGAGGGATTTCGCGCTCCTGGGGGGATTGTTCCTGAGCGCCCCACCGCTGAGCTCGCGGTGTCTGACTGCAGGTCTAGAAACTAGAACTTGCCAGCATATTTGTATCAATTCGCGCATTTTCTTACTCTGAAGTCGATGGAGACGCCCTGACCTGTGAATACAGTTTTCTCATCGTATGACTGCTGAAGAGCAGACACCGAAACAATTTTAAAGGAGTGATTGTTCTGAACCACCCACCCGTAGTGTTACGCTAAGTGATGCTACATACTAGTAATGATCATGGATTAGTAGGAAATTGTAGCAGTCTATCTCCTATTTTTAAGCTAATATAGGCTCAAATGAACGAACCGATAAAATTTAGTGAGGGCCATTGGGAGGTGGATAACTGGATTACGGATGCAAGTTATTGCGAGGTAATGCTGTACATGGCGGTCAGCATATAAACTGAAGATTAGGTGGACTTCTCTCGTAACACTAGGAAGGCCCGCGCCTAATTCAGGTAGGGAACTATCCTAACATAGTGATGTCGGCGCTAAAAAGCAGGCCTGATGTGGCCTGTCGCCTAATCTTAAACTCGTTTGAGAGCAGCCATTCACCCTCGAGCAGCCAGTCACCCTCAATAATTTTCTTCTACGCTAAAATTCTTGGGATTTATTCTTGTAATATATATGATATATATAATATATATGATATATTTTTTATATTTACAATATATATTACAAGAATAAATCCCAAGCATATATAAACACGTCTAGACTTCATCTCCATTGCTTGGTGCTGCAGTAGACTACTATAGTGATACGAAGTTATTTAAACAATCATCGCCCATTCCGTAGACTCTGTACGATAACTGACTGTTTACTGTGCAGAAACAATTTGGTTGTAAACAGCATCTCAGGAGTCAGGTTGGCTGATTGGAGCAAAGTGTTTTAAATGACCAAATTTTAAATCATTGAAAAATGTGGAAAGGATAATTAATACGGTAAACAAGGATTACGTATTTTTGAGAGGAAAGACTGGGGGCGGGGGGTTCGATATTACAAGGGGTGTGGGCGCGCGGTCAGGGTCTGAGACGAGCTGGACTGGCAGTTAGCCATCGATGCCTGTCTGTGTAGGTGTGGTGCTGTGCTCGCTGCCCACAAAATGTCGGGCGAATTCGGTACGGGCAAAACAATCATTGTGTTAGCAATCGTGGTTGGCTGCTTCGCTGTATTATGGCCCAAAGTCTTCTATCCGATGCTTATATCGTCTTCGAAGGCTACGCCTGTAACGAAGCCGGGTGAGATGTTGCTGCGGTCGCCATTTTCACCGGCAGATATCCAAGAAATCGTTCATTAATCACTATTCATGCGAGATTAGATTTAGCCTAAAAAATTACGTCAATTATAATATTGAAGCCGGTGACGAACAGGACTTCTTCTACTACATCTTTTTCTTTTATTTTACAAACCAATGATACTTATTTCGGTTAATTTTGATACTTAGCTATTAAGTTTTGAACGCGGTCCTAAATAAATATTTTTTTACAATTTTCAGTCTAACCTGTGGCATAAATATCAATTTATGAAAAAATGTAGTCGTTTGTTATCACATTGAAGTGAAAACCATTTTAACACATTTGATACATTTATGATCTAACAGTGAACGCTTATGCTCGTCTTATAAGTTAAAGGTTATTTGCAGGCGCAGCAGGCTATAGCTGTATTAGTCGTGAAAATTCTTAAATTTTCGGTTTAGCAGCAATTTGAACCCAAGTTGAACAGCAACTTGAGAAATCGATTATGATAGTTGATTGGCTTGATTCTTTCATGGCGCTGATGTGGCCTGTCGCCGATTTTTGTCCTTTTCGTGCCTTATTCACAGAAGATCTAAAATTGTGTCATTTGACCGGATCTTTTCATGACTGACGATAGTTTGAAGTAGCTACTAACTTGGAGAAATAAATCAAATCTTATTTCGGCGCGCCATATGCTGGTTTTTACGACGGTACTAGACTTCCACCGGGTTCGATATTGTGCTAAATTCTCGGCGATGAATCCTCTCTCACCGATTTTTAAAAATTAACAGAGTTATACGATTTAAGTCTCTTATTTGAATTAAGAAACAAATCCTTCATTCATTTTGAACTAACCTTTACGTGATAAGTCGGCGAACGTGGCATTCGTAGCAACTGTATGCGCCTGGCCGCCTGCTACGTAGAAATTAGAGTTCGGTGAGCCTGTTGTTGGCACTGGTGTAAATGACTTGCAAATACGTGCAATATAACATACTCTTTTCCGTAGTTGTGTTGATCGATACCTACAAAACCCGTATTATTTGGGTTTTATTGACACGAGCGGCGAGTTAACTGTTGAGTGGCGACTCGTGTGTCATTGTCGTTAGAAGAAATGAGCTCAGCTTCAACATAATTAAGAAGTTGAGCATGCTGATGGATACAACCGAGCTTCACGTTCAAGTTTTAACCTAACTCATCTCCAATTATTCATTATTAGCCTCTTAGGAGATGCATGTATGCATGTTATTGAACTATGGGAATACTATGTGCAGAACGCAATGTTAGCCCAGTAACATTACAAATTACGTGGTCAAAGGACTAGTAAATACCGAATGAAGAATTACCAGTGTCGGTCGCGTGTGACTGCTCATCGATGTGACACTGCCGTCGAAACTGCTGCCAACAGCTATCGCTCTATTGTATAGACAATCACCTGCTGATGTTTTAAAGTTTATATTCTTTCTGCGTGACCTTCAAACGGTGGTCGAAGCCTGTCTTCGAAAATTTTCTCACTCGCTGAAGCCACATAAATCACTTTTAGCTTGAGTTTTGGACATCTCTCTAATATTTGGAATATTATTTTGGACAAATATCATGCATTCAATTATTATCGTATGAAAAATCTTTCGAAATAATGTCATAGTTTTTTGTATTTTGTTATTTGAAGTTTTTCCTTTTGTTCAAATGCATAGTCATGATACCAGCTGCTATATAATATTATATGTACAGCGTGATTATTTCTTTACGGAATTATTGACTTGCATTTGTTGAGGTAATGTCGAGACATGCATGTGTATAACAGACGTCGGTCAGAGGAGCTGTGTCATGCATGTTTGTGTGCTGTGGCCTCCACTTTTTAAAGGGATACCCGAGCCAACTGCCTGGCTATAAGTAGACGAAGTGATGGTCATAACCAGCCTTGCTATTGTTGCCCTAGGCAAGCCACTCCATAAACCCTTTTGATTAAATGATATCTATATTTCATCTATGCCTGCTCTTAAGGCTTATATTCTCTAATACTGTAGACCAATAAAATGTTTATACTGAAAATTCATGGTATAAACATTAAACAGTATTTGGCAATCGCTCTGTTTATTACATAATTTATCACCGGATAGATACACAAAAGTGTCGAAATGAAGCATGCGCGAGTAACAAATAGCTAGACGTCTTTTTATGCCAGCCCAATTAATATGAGCGTGACAGGGACTGAGATTCATCAATTCAAGGAGGCTCTTACTCTTAACGCGTTCACGAGTGTCTGCTCAAGATGGTGCAATATTTAACTGCTAAAACGTTAATGCAGGCTACCAAGCTGCTGGGTGATATAGAATTCTATATGCTTACTCTCTGTATGACTGAATTATAAAACGTCTCTAAATGTTTGAAGCTGTAATTTCTTTTTAATGTTCGCTTATCATCCTGCACTGTCTAACCACGCCTTAGTAAGCGAACTGTCTATAAAGACAGTTATTGACACACGATAATATTCATGCTCGAGAAATTTTCAAACAATATTCAATTAGAGAATTTTTCAATAAATCATGGAACTATTAATTGCCTAACTGATCTTTCATAAATATTTTTTTAAATGAAACCATATTTAAGCTTCATAGTTGTCATAATTTTGCATGCGAGAATTGTTCGAAAATACGCATTATCAGGTCGTGTGTATGCGCTTTACATAATCAATGAACGCGTCTGCAGTGTCTGCGCTCTATCGCTTCCCGCAAACTGAGCGCGGCGAAAAGAGGCACTCGGCAGGAGCTGAGAGCGGCGCGACAATCGATGCTCCACGGCTGCCGGATGCGTGTTCGATTTAGGACCTCCTCAGGCTGCGTTAGGTTTTTATGATGTGTTAGAGACCATTTATTATCACTGTACGTCGTACATAAACTTTTTAGATTGTAGAATTTCATTTACATTGTTCAATTCGTTTATAAATTTTTTTGTTTTCGATGTGCTGTTCGGAAATGTGTACGATTTAGGACCTCCTCAGGCTGCGTTAGATTTTATGTGTTATAGAGAATATTTATTATCACTGTACGTCGTATATAAACTTTTTAGATTGTAGAATTTGTTTCTAAATTTTTGTTTTCGCTTTGCTGTTCGGATGCGTGTTCGATTTAGGACCTCTTCTGGCTAGGTTAGGTTTTTATGATGTGTTAGAGAGAATATTTATTATCACTGTACGTCGTATTTAAACTTTTTAGATTGTAGAATTTGTTTCTAAATTTTTGTTTTCGCTTTGCTGTTCGGATGCGTGTTCGATTTAGGACCTCCTCAGGCTGGGTTAGGTTTTTATGATGCGTTAGAGAGACCATTTATTATCACTGTACGTCGTACATAAACATTTTAGATTGTATAATTTGTTTATAAATTTTTGTTTTCACTGTGCTGTTCGGATGCGTATTCGATTTAGGACCTCCTCTGGCTGGGTTAGGTTTTTATGATGTGTTAGAGAGATAGCGCGGCGAAAAGAGGCACTCGGCAGGAGTTGAGAGCGGCGCGACAATCGATGCTCCACGGCTGCCGGATGCGTGTTCGATTTAGGACCTCCTCTGGCTAGGTTAGGTTTTTATGATGTGTTAGAGAGAATATTTATTATCACTATACGTCGTACATAAACATTTTAGATTGTAGAATTTGTTTCTAAATTTTTGTTTTCGCTGTGCTGCTCGGACGTGTGTACGATATAGGCACTCCCCAGGCAGCGTCAAGTGTTTTTGTGATATGTTAGAGAGAGGCGATTTATAGACACTGTATGAATCATTGACTGGCGCTGCGTATAAATTATTTTTTGAAATTTTTGTTTCTAGTGTCGGCCGCTCCATGTTGAACACGGTTGACTAATAAAATTAATTTTGTTAAAATTGTTCATCACGGTCAATTTCTGGTTAGAAATACAAGTGCATACGTATTAAAGTTTTCTTCAGAAATTGTGTTTGTAAGCTCGCCGCTCGTAGAATGCAAGCCTGGTCTTAAGATGACTGGCAATGTGCCGCAATACAAGGTTTAACGCAGCGGCTTGTAGCTCAGATATCGTGGTCTGATGGAAAACCAATTGCCTATTGCGCTCAAGTGTCTCACTTAATATCAGCCACTCGATCCTTTCTCCATCTCAGGAAGGATATCGTTACTTCTCTCATAACCGTTGCAGTAGTATATATATATACAACCTTTCTTCTCGTATACCCTTTTGCATATAAGCTGCCCTTGTGTAAATTTTACAGATGTAGTCAAATATCAAATCGTACATATTTTTTTCGTCTTTCCAAAGGCAATATCTAAGTATATAAGCCGGGTTTATTGAAAAATAACTTATAATTGCAGGTTATTATTCACTTGATGCTGTAACGAACGTGAAACGCTTCAAGTATCGCTTGGCGTCTCCGTAAAGACACTCGCTGTGACAATTATTTGCAATGTTTACTGAAAATGAACAACTCATTCATAGGTACAAATCGCCAATGTTATAGATAAATTTGAAAATTGTTGTAATAAATGATTGCTAAAATCTAACTTGTTTTATTATTTGTATTCATATAACTGCACACACTCACACAATTTATGCTATATTTAAAATATTTTTTCTTGGTTAAACTAAAAAATCTCTATTGGAGTTCCTCTCAAGCTAACATATGTACTTCTTAGGATTTCATTTACCCTGCTTGGGAGTCCTGCTTTAAGATTTTAATTATTTTAAGTTCAGTTAATGCATTATTACTAAATTACTTCATAATAATATTTTCATTTGATGAATGTTGACCAAATAATCTGTTGCCCTGGGCAGAATCAGCAGGGGTGCGGGCAGAGCGCCCCGTTCACCTGCACCCCGAGATGATGCATCCCGCGCTGAGGGAGCGTGGCAGGGCTCTGCCTCAGCGCACCATAGAGAAGGAGGCTAAAGTAAGATCTTATTTATTTAGCACTCATCATCCCTCTTTCATTTAGCGGTTATGAAGACTTGAGTAAGATTCATCACTCATATAGTCATTGACTCACTGACTCATCACCCATGACCTACCTCTGTTACAGCGAACAAAAATTGTCTCAATGTTAAAAAGTTTCCACAGCGACGTTTATAAAAACGAACATTTTCTCGGAGAGCAAAATTTTACTTTCTTATACCACCGGTTATAAAGAGTAAAATAAAATCTCTCTTCATTTAAGCATCTTAAACATCATTGCAATCGAAAACTACGTACCACTTGCCATACATCCGGCCACCACGAGGGAAGCCGAGATTTTGACAGACGATAGAATATTTTCGCGTGCGAATATTTTCAAACGACAATATCCTGTGAAGAAACCCACAAAGATCTCGGAAGCCCCGCAAGAAGCTGCAGGCCGCTGCAAGGCTGGCGTCGACACTCCGCCGATCGATCCCTTGAGTGTCGCAGCGCCGTGCGTTCCGGTCTATAGTTCTTCTGCTCCGGCCCGTCGTGATCCCGGCGAAATTACCTAAGAAATCTTTTGCTGGTGTCGCGGTGATGAATTTCGATTGAAGCTTAGTTTTTTTAATTAAGGACAGAAATCTACTCTGGTACTCTTTTCAGCTACTAAAAATAGGATACCGTATCTAAAAGAGGATAGGTTGTCTGTAACATGTTTATGTAGAATTTCTGGTGATATGATGTGGCTTTACTTATACCTATGATATTTAAATCTAATCGCTTTTCTGGGAAATTCTGTAGGCTGTTAATACCACGATTCGCGAATTTTGCGTGTGATCAAAACTAGAATTACTCAGTGAATGATGAGCTTGAGAACAAACACCGGAGATGTTTAGTTGGTACTTGCCGAAAGTATATCGCGTTCGACGTAGACAGAGACAGAAAATCCGAGCATTTTACGAGTTAATCGAAAGAGCTGAGCGCGAGTACGCGCGGGATACTGCCGCCCGAGGCATGGCGACCAGAACGACTGCCTCCTTCACTGAAGAAACTTGCGCCTGGGACGCGTGGGAATGCGGCAACGACGACTTAGTTGAGGTTCAGAAGGTGCATAATTCCTGGTTTGGTCTGATATTTCTATGGAGAATGTAATCGGAATGTGTATTTAATGATGTTCAGAAGGTGCATGTGCGATAATTCCTGATTTGGTCTGATATTCCTATGAAGAATGTAATCGGAATGTGTAGGACTTGGTAAAGAAGAAGAGTCGCACTTGACGATCAAAGTAAAACAACTTTTTGATTCATAGATCCGAATTTAAACAGCGCAAAATTCCATTTCTATTAAGGAATTACAACTATAGTATATAGTGAAAAGGCCTTCTATTGCTTGCGCCACAATTCAAAAAAGGTTCACTTATAAACTCGTATGTCATTCTTGCCTTCCGACAGCAAGGACATCTTAGCGCGTTAGAGAATTTCATCCGATACGACCAAAAAGATTTTACGTATATGTGAGTCATTGATGCAGAGATGAGTTTACCCGAGCCGTGAAAGCATTTATTTAAAGAAGCTATGACAGGACACATGGTGACGCTCTATTTTGAGACTAGACACGCCTCTCGGAACTTGCCACCAGACGGTCTCAGGTGCCGGGACCTGAACACAGGATAAAACACTTAATAAATTGCCTTAGCACAAACTCCTGAAATTGCCTTAGCATCCGTTGTCACGAATTGCGTTGTCACGAATTGCGTTGTCATGAATTGCGTTGTCATGAATTGCGTTGTCACGAATTGCGTTGTCATGAATCTGTCTCTTATACACATCTAGATGTGTATAAGAGACAGGTGTTAGTACGTCGTACATAAACATTTTAGATTGTAGAATTTGTTTATAAATTTTTGTTTTCGCTGTGCTGTTCGGACGTGTGTACGATATAGGCACTCCCCAGGCAGCGTCAAGTGTTTTCGTGATGTGTTAGAGAGGAGATTTATTAAAATTGTAAGAATTATTGCCTGACGCTGCGTATAAATTATTATTTTTTAGTTTTTGTTTCTAGCGTCGGCAGCTCCATGTTGAACAGGGTTGATTAAAATTGTTTTTGTTAAAATTGTTCATCACGGGCTTCACGGCCAATCTCAGGTTAAAAATACAAGTGTATACGTATTAAAATTTTCACCATAAATTGTGTTTGTAAGCTCGCAACTCGTAGTATGCAAGCCTGGTCTTAAGATGACTGGCAATGTGCCGCAATACAAGGTTTAACGCAGCGGCTTGTATAATTGCGTTGTCATGCTGCACTTTATGGTGTTATCATTGCACTTTCCAATGTGTTATCTTAATTAACTATTTTTTAAATGCATAAATGCCGAAAACAATGCGACGTTCTGGTATTAAATTTTTGTTGTGCCTGAATTCTATTGTATTTTAATCGGAAATACACTTTTGGTAACTAGGTTACTATGTATTTTTATTCGCAGTTTGCTAGCTGCAAGTTAATAATACTATGCTAATTAGAAAATAATAGTGTTAGAATTGTGTTGAATGTGTTAGTCCAATGGCATGAATAAACTAATTTAATTAAATATAAATAAACTAATTTAAATTTAATCGCATGTATTTTTAACCATATTTGAATGTTGTTCCACCAGCCCGGCCCCATGCCTGGCGTGCGCCCCCCCATGGGGGGAGGGGCGGGGCATGTTGCCCCCTCCCCCAACACCAAAACATCGAGCAGCATGAGCGTCATCATGCCACTCTACACAGTGGGCATCATCATATTCTTCATCTACACCATCATGAAGGTGAGTGTCATCATGCCACTCTACATATTAGGCATCATGCATAAATATATTCTTGATATGTATGATGTTTACATATAGATTCAGGCATGCGATTGTTACGAAAAAAATTTATTCAAGCATTTTTTCATGATGTGGCTGTCTTTATCGTTATTATTCGTACTTATTGAACAATTGTGAGTGTTGTTAGAATAATTAATTGAAAATTTTCTTCTTGTTAACACGGTTGTTGTCCATTAAAGCCAAGCAATTGAATGAGCATCGAAACTCGAATGTCGAGTTACATTGAATTTAAACTTCTGCGAGGGAATAATTTCCAGAATGTGTAATTAAAAATAAGGCATGGAATTTCAATCGAATTTTGCCTTGAATCTAATTACAAAATTTTGAATTACACTGAATTGACTTGATTACTTGAGTCGTCGATTATTCAAATTCCTATTTTATAATTCATTTCAATGCCAAGTTTTTGTACTCAAATGAACTGTAAGATGTTGCAAGTGTAAGTTACTAAACTTGAACCGTTATCTTTTAACGCTGGTGCAACTTCACTTTCAGAGTTCTAAACGAACCAGTAATTATTCTTAACGCTGGTGCAAGTCACGATCTAAACAACTAGTAACTTTTGCAATGCTACTTCAGGTGTTTTTTTAAGAAAACTCCTAGTTTTTTTATCGCTGGTGCCATTCTCGTTCTAGACAACAGATAACATTCGCAACTATTGAGCAGGTTTTGTTCAAAAAAGTCCCGAATGACGACGAGAAGACTCCTAAGCTGAAGAACTTCCACATGGACCCCGAGTACCGCAAGTACGTCTTCGAAGAAGAGTATCTGGACAGCGGCGACGCGGCGAACAAGGAAGCTTTCCACCGCCGCGTTGCCGACCACAAGGATGCCCACGGACTGCGCCGCCGTAACATCGTCGATCAGCCTGATCGCAAAATCGGTTAGTGCTGTTTTTAGCGCCTTTATGCGGTTTTTAGCGCATTTGTCTCTCATTTATGGAAAAAATATAAGTCAGTACTCACTGCAGTGAGTGACGGAGAGCGCATTTTCTCGTCGACGAAAACTTGAGGTCACGGACGGATGGACAGACAGACAGATAGACGGACATGGCGAGCACAATAGTGCATTTTTTCCATAAATGAGAAAATGCGCTAAAAAGGCGCTATTGTGCTCGTCATGTCCGTCTGTCTGTCTGGCCGTAAGGATGTCCGTGACCTCACGTTTTCGTCGACGAGAAAATGCGCTCTCTGTCACACACTGCAGTGAGCACTGAGTTATATTTTTTCATTATTCAAATCTATTGAACAGATAGCATTTTTTTGTTTAGTTCATTGTGATTCGCGAATGTTTTTCTCATTCTGGCGACGGTTATAATCCGCCACTGAATGGATATACATCGGAACTATTATTTTTCCAAAAGTTATCTGTGTGAAATATTCAATGAAAAACAATGGAATAAGATCAGTGGTTAGAATGATAAAATGGTTGTATGGCCTTTAAGGTTAGATTTGTTTAGAAATTCAGTATTCTGGTAAATTTTTGTGACATATGATATTAAAAATTAATGCTTCTCTAGATTTGTCCGAGCTAACTTTAGGTCATTTTTTTGCGTTCACCAAAAATGAACAGATGAATTGTTTTATTGTTAATAATAATAAAAAAATTTAAGCGAAGTCTCGATTTTTGTTTGAATCGATGACTGTATTTTCAATGCTGCTCAGCGGGACAGCCAGACTGCGAGCGAAGTAAGAATTATAATTAATAAGAAAAAGAATAACATATTTAAGCTTCATTTTACATTCGGTTCATGAGTTATCGCCGACAATACTTTTATATGATGAATTGTGCATGAATTTAATATCTTTACTCTTAAACAATGTCACGCGTACTATTCAAACATTCCTTTAATCATTGGGGCCTGTTATATTTTTCAGCCTATGTTACTGTTTTCCTATATTACCTTCACCGAGCTATCGATTTCAGGAATGCAGTTTAAATTTTAATATTTTCAGATCGTTATGCGATTGTAAAGGTAATGAGTTCCATTTGTCTAAAACTGGAATTATCCTATGGAGAATAAGAATATCTTAGTCATGGGTTTAATGGATTATAACCATTGCCCAACCAAACCGTGGGACACAATTAATTATCTTATCAGAATGAAAGTAAAATTAGTATGAATAGGAATGTGAAAGTTTTATAATTTCTTATTTATATGCTTGACCTAGCGTAGGCTCAGGAGATCTGGGGCCATACTTTCAAAACTCGCTAAGTGAACGTAAGTACGTACGCTCTATTTTCTTGTCTATGAATGATGGATTTTGCTTGAAAGGCCGTCAATGATTGGTTGATGAACTTACGATCTCTTAACTTTTTTGAAAGTATAGGCCCTGGTGAGCTAGACCAGACACTTATAAAATTACTGTTTCAGTTTGCTGTGCATGATCCCTGTTGTTCAGTAATTCAGTAGTGAGCTGATTGCGTTGCAGAAGATGAGCAGATGGATCAGTTGAGGCGACGCTTGGAAGACACAGAGAAGGCCATGGAGCGTCTCATGGCTCAGATGGGCTCTGTGTCAGACAAGCTCACAGCTGCTAAGATAACAGAAGTTCTCTCCCAGGCGCAGACGCAGGCTAAACTTCTTAAGGTCAGCATCAAGTTCCTCGTACATGGCCGAGCGTCCTAACACAAATGTATCTTTTCGTTCCCAATTGATTTGTGCTGATCTAACAAGGGTCCAGCGAGATGTGTTGTGTGCTTTGCTTTTTCAGTAAATTTTACTAATAATGTGTTTTACCGCGGAATTTAATCCATGCAAAGAGTACTTGTAGTTTCCTTTAAATGGAACTTATAGATAAAAATCTGCATTCGTGCATATCGAGCAAAGTATGTTTATAGACCATCAAGATTTTACCAGCCGGGAATAAATCATTGGTCACTTCCATATACTCGATCCATATTCGATTGAGTGCATCTTTGCCTGAATTAAGTCCTGCCATCCGAGAGAGAGAGAGAGAGTCTTCGTATAGCTCGCTAACCCGTATTTCTTGACCAAGACTCATTCATGTTTCTCATTGCTCCACAATTCAAGGTCGGTAGTCAACTATCTCATCATTAATCTTTTAAAACAATACATCATTTAAACGTCTTGATTAATCTTCTATACGACGATGATTGATTAAGTTTGACTACCGATCTTCTTCTGGCTCGTTTAGATGCCAGAATTTATGAGCGTGGACATTGCTAAATATTTCGTCTTATCTTGTTCCCCCAACGCTTACACTCACTCCACGTACCACACGCAACATTGTACACACAGTTACGACTGCAATATCTGACATCCTTGCCGAATTAGACGAATTTTCCGTTGAAATCAACCGACGTAAACTCGAAAAGAAATTGGAAAAATGCGTTGAACAGGGCACGGAGAATGAAGACAGCATACATCATTTTGGAGAAGAAATCGATGCTGACGAAAATTCAATGGATGACGAGTGTCAAAAAACTGACGCATGCGATAACTTGGAAGCAGAAACTGAATTAATGAAAGAAAATGCCTACAACACTCACCGATCTTCGCCGCCTCCTTCGCCACCACCAGAGAAGTTGCATTTTGTTCATTCAGATAAGCACATTGAACTTGAATCACAGATTAAGATAACAGATTCGGATAATGGCGCAGACCTAGTAGCTTGTGATGAGCTTCTGCAATGCTTCGCTTCTGAAAAGAAAGTGGACATTCCATCTGGAGACGCACTTAGTGCGCAAAATAATCAGACTAACTTATTCTCTATGGAGCGCCAGATCTCAGAAGAAAAGTCTCGCGAAGACCAGGAAACAACTTCACTACAGTCATCTCATTCTGTGAAAACACTGCCATTCAAACTTCGAAAATCATATGTCCGTGAGTGCGCAGAAATGACCGCTGCAACGAATTTAAAACAATCAGCCGCCAATTCGCATCGAGGTGCTACAGGTGGCCTTACCTATCTTGCACACGGTAACGATCATGTATTTAACACGGGTAATCCTCCTTTGCATGGTAGTGATAATCTCACTGAGAAATTTGATGCTCTGAACGTAACCTCAACTGATATTCAGAATAATTTGGTATTGGAAAGTAACGGGGATCCGTATTTGTTTGTGCAAGCCTCTATGCGCGAGACTGTTGGCTCGAGGCTGAATGAAACTGACGAGCCTCCAAGAAAGAAGTTTTCTGGTCGTGGACTTTTCCCTGGAATTGGAAATTCATTTACGACTCAAACTGAATCTTCTGCGTCGGAAGATTCAGAGAAGAATGAACCGCTCAACAAATCGTCATCTAATTTTGAAATGGAAAAAAATCTCGTGTCTAGGGGCAATGATGTTTCATTCTTGAAAATGATGGAGAGTTTTAACGCTACTGATAGCCCCATTACAGCTCAAATGTGTCCTGAAACAAAAATATCATCGAATCCTGCACATTGTTCTTCAGAGTTTGATGAAAACGTGGTCGACAAATTTTCTTCACGCATTAAAAATGATGAAATTACTAATGAAAATTCACAAGGAACTGTAAAATTTAATAAAATATTGTCAGAAATTATTGGGTTTCCGCCCATGTCATCAGACGCAACTCTAAATTCCGAGTTTGATGCTGAATTCAGTGAACATTCTGACTTGCCCGAGTCCGCCGTGGCTGGTCATGTAGAAACCGACGGTGTTTTGACCCTGGATGAAGCTGTAGTTTCAGTTCTGAATGATAATACTAATGATTTCAAACCACCGACAAAAATAATCGATGACTCCACATCACATCAAGCTATCAATAATGAACCTGATCATCCAATCAAGAAGAAGTTATCCACATCGGTGAATCCCCGCATTTGTAGCTCTAAAGAGGATTTGTCCAGCTTTTCTCGCAATGAAAACAACTCTACTGAATATGAAACATTGCCAGCCATTAACACCATTCACAACGATACCTCACACACCAACAAAATTCGAACTATTAAAAGTGGTCATCAGGAGGCTACCAACTTAGACAAAGATCTCGGCGTTAGTCGCCGTAAAGCCACAGATGTCAACAAAAACACTAACAATGAACCGCACCAACCTGTCTCGTCTGCTGCACGACGTAGAAGGGGTGGTCGCAAAAAGCGCCAGCGAATCAAACGTTCCAACAAACTAGTAAGCTCGAACCTTTTGTTAACCTTTGCTTGCTTTCCTACTCTTTGCTGACCTTGCTGTTTGTGGAGTAAATAGCTTAAAACGGCACCTTTTTTTGCACGGAAAAATGTTTGAAATTCATCAAAGTTTACACCCTGGCCTTCACTGACCATATGATCGGGGAACACACGTGCGCTTGTTTTTAATGTGAATCCCTTGATAGAGTTCGAAATCTCACACGCAAACTATTTGGTATAAATACAAATTCATGCAGCCGTTGATCTGGGTTCTGTGTTGATTATAGTTTTGCAAGTATTAAAATAAGCGTGGTAATAAGTATTAAAATAAGCTCCCTGCATTATTTATTGCTTCAATTTCGCTAAACTTTTAAGACTTCGTCTAATTTTAAAATTTTCAGATGACTTCATCTAATTTAAATTGACGTCTTAATTTTTGTGTTGTAGATGCAAATTCATATTATATGCATATTGATAAAATTTTATTGTCAATCAATTTCGCTTTCGAATATAAGAATAACATGATGAGTCGCCTCCCTGCTATAAAACTGAACGGAATTTTCTTTGCTTTTAGTTAGTGCAATTAAATTTGTTTAGTTTCGTTGTTTCTAGCTGATGGTAATTGATAACATAAGATTCACATAGAGATAAAACGCTTTATAATATTTACATAGAACTGAAGTGCATAAGATCCAATTGCGTGGAAGTTTACATGCTAGATAAGTATGTTGATCGTATAGTAGATCAGTTGAGGTGTGGCTTGCATAGTGAATGACTTTACACAGCACACATTTCTATTGTTTTTTTCCTTATAAAATTTATTGGGTTTTCTCCTGCACGTGATAAATATACGTTCGCAATAAAATATCATTTACCATTATATTTGAATCCGCATCACAAGTAAGTGAAAATTTTGCCCATATTTATCACGATTGCCAATGCTTTTTTAATGTTCGATAATGACGTTATTTTCTGGGGAATTCTATATATAATTATTTCAATATGAATTGGTATCGTTTGACTGAGTGCAACACTTCTAATCGTTTGACAGAGATAATAATTTCCGAACGATTAAGTCCTATTTTTGTATGCATGCATGAAAGAACGATTAAAGAGTTTATCTTTTCGTATTGATGAACCATTTTCTTGGATATTCCTACTGACGTATTTGGAGAAGTTTTTGAACCCTCTATCGAAATATGGTTTAATGGTTTTCAAAGTTCTGGATATTTTCCCACCTAACTTTTTAATCGTCTGTTTTTTACACTTAAATTGATCAACTCTATTCTGCCGTTGTAGGATAACTTCTACAGTGATAACAGAGTTTAACTAATTGGAATCGATTGCCATTTATCACAACAGCTGCAAGAGGATTTCACGAGTGAAGAAGATGATGATTTATTCTCAAGTGATGATTTTACAACCACATTCACGGACGATGAGTCACTCTTGTCTCCGGCTTTACGCCACAGGCTTTTGCAGCACTCGTTGGTTGAGCGTCATCCTTCAATTCAGTATCAGTTGGATGACGCAGTCCAGAAGGGAATTCCTCGGATTAACGAAACTAAAAATACGCACAAATGTTTTCCGCAGACAAATGCTCCACCTGCAATGTCAACTACTGGACGAAGCAACTCGAATTTGAAGTCGGAAAGTGACGAAAAACCTATCGAGGTAAACCATGTACCGGAAGCCGGAACGACGATCGACGTCAATCACGACATCGGACCAGAAGAAGGAGTAACCACTACTCCGCGAGTTGAACCTGCGGAAACATTCCCGCCAGGTATCACAAAGCCGATCGTAAACAAAAATATCGCTTTTATAAGAGCAAACTTGAGTCCTTCTCCACCATCTTCCATGCCTGCACAGAAAGTTTCATTCCGTCCTAAGGCGACTTATGTTCACGCGCCTGCGAATGGATCTGAAGAAGATGATGGATCCTCTGACGCGACGGAAACCGGAGCCGATGTGTCGGAACTACGTTCTTTCGCAGAAGATATTAATGACAGTAAGTTGGCCAATGAAGAAGAAATCGCATTAATCAGTGACGTCAAACAATTTCGCGAAGATGAAATTCCAGAATTAATTATGCCGAAATTTGACGGCCCAGAGTTACAAATGGCACAAGGAGCTGAAGGCAATCGGAAACTGCGTACTATAGAGGTTGTCATGCCCAAGTTTGATGGCGTTCCTGAAGTCGTCATGCCCAAGTTTGATGAAGTTCCTGAAGTCGTCATGCCCAAGTTTGATGAAGTTCCCGAAGTCGTCATGCCCAAGTTTGATGAAGTTCCTGAAATCGTCATGCCCAAGTTTGATGTCGTTCCTGATGCCGTCATGCCCAAGTTTGATGAAGTTCCCGAAGTCATCATGCCCAAGTTTGATGAAGTTCCTGAAGTCATCATGCCCAAGTTTGATGAAGTTCCTGAAGTCATCATGCTCAAGTTTGATGACATTCCCGAAGTCGTCATGCCCAAGTTTGATGAAGTTCCTGAAATCGTCATGCCCAAGTTTGATGTCGTTCCTGATGCCGTCATGCCCAAGTTCGATGACGTTCCTGAAGTCGTCATGCCCAAGTTCGATGACGTTCCTGAAGTCGTCATGCCCAAGTTCGATGACGTTCCTGAAGTCGTCATGCCCAAGTTTGATGACGTTCCTGAAGTCGTCATGCCCAAGTTTGATGACGTTCCTGAAGTTGTCATGCCCAAGTTTGATGACGTTCCTGATTGATATGAAAACACAAAATTTTATCAGCGCTACTGCAGAAAATAAAAAAGTTGAGGTATCACCGACACATGTTGATCAAAGCATATCTGACGAAAAATGCAGAGATCTTTCATCCGATGTACACATAGTTGGCAATCTAGAAAATATTGCGATTTATCATGATCATAGTAACCCAACAATTTTATCTGAATTTCAAAAGCTAAACGTGAATCAATTGCGATGCGAAGTAGTTAGTGAAGCGATGAAAATGCCTGTTACCACAGACGGAAACGACACTGAAAATGTTCTTGTGTATTACACAGCTGACAAAAATGATGCTGCTCAGTTTTCTTCTCATGATGTATATAAAGATTCGCAAATTAGATTCGCACCTCCTGAGTACATAGAATCATCTTCTCTGCCCCCCACTCATGAAGCCGATAAAACTCTGGGTGTAAAAATACCTACTGATTACACTGCTGATAAAATGGAGGCAGAATTCGCGTTCTGTGATTATACTGAAAATCATGAGAAATTATTGTCACCAACCGAACAGAAAGTGGATATTATGCCTTCATCTCAATGTGCGAAAAAAGATTCAACTTTCTTGACATCAGATGAAACTGATGAAAGTGAAAATTCTGGTAATATAGATAGAAATAAACTGGATGAAAAATCAGCTCCTCCGTTTATCGTTGCAAACGAAATTTATAGTGCAGCACATTCCTCATCCGTCAATGCTCCGATCGTTGTGGCTGACCAACCACTCGTTTCAAGCCTTGGTGAATTCGACTCAGTTCGACAAACTGTTATAAAGATGAAGCTTCAACCGCAATTGTCCGACGGAGAAACGTCTGATTCAGAGTGTTCGGATGAAAGGTATGCAGCTGTGGGAACTCAAACTTCCTTTGCATTTGACCCTCCGAGACTATTACGGAAGAAAATGGTTGAGAGTTCAACGCAGGTGGAAGAAGATCGAGCGCTTTCGGTTGTAGGCTACAGCACATCGTGGCGAGTTGGTGGTGAAAAAGAAAAAGCTGAAGTTCCATCAAATCTTAGAGACTTGACTTTGGATGCGATGCTGCCTTCAGAAACTCAGGCGCTCGTTTTGCAGTCTACTGTTGGCCTTTCTTCGGATGGGAACATCGAGGACGATGCCAGTGAAATAGAATCAGTGCCTTGTGTTATAACTAGTCAGCTTAGCTTGAATATTATTGGCCTTGAACAGACCAAAGAGTCGCCAGATTCTAAAACAACAATATTAATGCAAACAGCCAGCCCCATTCAATCTACCTCTTATGAATTTGCTAATTTATCTGATTCTCATTCGAAGTCACGATGTAGTGAAGAATTCAAATGCTCGACTAGTCCTATTGCAAAGCTAACATCTGTTGACAGCAATGCTGGATCGGAACGAAAGGACAACAATGACTCTCAAGCTACCAGAGAGATTTTTATTGAAGCATATGACGACAATTCAGAGAGAGTGAAGACATTGAACAATGTTCAAGATACCGAAGTAGATGATACAAATGAACAGCTTCGGCCTAAAAACCCGATTCCTCCCGAATCAGAGAATCAAGTTTATGGTGACGTTGACCAAAATGCCGGACCTTCAGATTTTCAGTCGAGTCCTGCATCACAATACACCTCTGAGCTTGAATATGAAGATAGTGCGACACCGGTACCCTGGTTTCCATGTGAACATTCTTCTAGTGGTAACTTTGTCCCTTCGTTCTATGTTGAGGAAGAAGAACCGATATTTTTCACGTGTTCAGTTGTTCACACGCCCTGCTCGTCAGTTCCCCAAACACCCGACCAAGAAGCCGAGATAATTCTAGCGAGCAATTTCGATCGAACCTCAGAATGTGTAGGCGAAGACGCGCCATTGATGCCATCCTTCGTTGGCGGGCGCGAGTTTAGCGCCCCAACCCCAGTGCCAGTAAGAGAAATGTTTCTTCTTTGCTTCATGCTTAACTTCCCATAATGTGGAGTCTATTAATGCTAATAATCCAAGTGTGTTAAAAAGTCAATGTCGTATTTTTCGTAATTCCCTTGGTTTAACAAACTGTTGCATTCTTCACAGTAACATTATACAAGTCCATGAATTTCATGAAGTTTCTTTGCATTGCATAGTAAATCTGAAGCCAAGAGAGAACATTACTCTTTTTCGTATTTATAATTTTTCTTGAAGTGATTACAGAAACATTATTTTCTGTATGCAAATAAAGATCTCCCTTCAGAAAAATATTGCCACACACCATTGTTTACCGAAATGCTGCTCCGCCTTCTAGACCGGTTGAGTGGTTGATTGCAAAAGTGCATTAAGTATGATAGGTATTATTTTACTGTTACGTATGATAGGTACCATCTCGTTTATTTTATAGTTACGGCGATTGACACGAACAATTAGACGTAATTGGCAGGAACAATTTTTCCCGTGTTTTTGCAATGTTATTTTTTTCTAAATATGAAGCAATATATGATTGTGTATTCAACACTCGTTTATTTATGTGAAATTCTAATATTAAGTTATTTTGTTCCTATTTTGTGACTGCTTCTAATCTAATTTTAATACCATATGTTTTGAAGCCTTCCATTCCACCATTACTTTTCATTGCCGCACTATCTCAATGAAGTCGTTTTCTTTTTACACTGCTCTAAATAGCTACTAAATATTTATTTTTATGAAACCCCATTTGCTTGTATATTTGTTTAACAATATACCCGTGCTTCTAATCACATGTCTTCCTTTCCGCGCTATTCATAGACGATTTACACAATAATTCTCGTATATCATGCATGCGACTGTTGGGCTGCAAATGGATACATTTATTGATTACCTGGACATGAATTTATTGCGCACGGAATGTTGGCACCTTTTATCGTACACATACTTTCAAAGTCGTAACTAATCTATATATTTTATTCTAAGTTCTTGAAATATAATCGATATACCATTTCCAAACATTTGTTTTCAGTGATTTGAAGAATTCATTGCTTATGGAGTCGCTCTGGAGTTTACACTTTGTAATGGATATAACTGCTTGATTTTCACCTATTAACTTGCTTGCATCTTCCATGTCAATAATTAATTTCAACAAAATGTTCTTGGTGAATATTAATTTCCAAACGAATTTTTTAATTTTGTGTATATGATATGTGCATAAACGTTGAGAAATATGTAAAAAAAACTTGACTAATTATTTCTAAATACTGCAGAACCAGTCATCCGGAGGTGTGTCCAGCAAAGGCTCCAGCCCTGATATCCATGAATATGAAGTCGTCCAAAAAGGTTCGTTTAAGAAAGCCAATACTACCAAATTTTTACGCTCTAATGCTAAATCAATGGTTGAAGACAAGAAGAGTGTTGAAAACATGAAAATATAATCTATTGAAAACGGGTTTAAAAAATCACATACTACGTTTACGACCAAATTTTTACGCTCTAATGCCAAATCAACGGTTGAAGACAGGAATAGGGTTAATAATATGAAAATTTAATCTATTGAAAACTGGTTTAAAAATTTACATACTACGTTTGCTCGGGGCGGCCGAGCGATTAAGATCACGTTGATTGGAGCTGCAAGTTTAGGGTTCGAAACCTTTATTTAGCTGTGATAATTTTGATTTAAATTGGCGGAAGACCAAATGGTTAATTAAGAATAGTTGAAACGCCATTATAATCTAACCAAGGCTGACAGAACTATCTTTTATGTTCTGATTTATCTTTGTTTCGACATGATTTCAATTGGGCTCAACTCGACTCGTTAACGCTATGGCATCTCGACGATCGATCGTGCAAACTTTTCTCGGTTAGTATGAACGGTTAAAACTTGACTGCATTTTTATGAAGAAAAACTAACCCAAATCCAGTACTATTAACTAAGTACAAAGTATCGCACACATCGTTAACAAATTTTCCGCTTGTAACTAACAATATCATTGTAACCTATCGCGAGACCATATATTTGTTTCATCGAAGTTGGTAATTTCCATCTTTGCACGAATTTGATCTAATCCCGAGATTGAATGCCTCTAATTTGATCTAATCCCGAGATTGAATGCCTCTAATTTGATCTAATCCGAAATTGAATAGATCAGCTCGTAACTGTAAAGAACTAACAAATACTAATTCAATGAAAATAAAACCATAAATAAGCAAAGTTGATTCAACGTTTTGTCATTTTCAACTGAAGAATTGAAAATGCAAAGCGTGACGTCATTAATTTTTTTCTCGAAAATCTGTCATTAAACATAATTTTTTCATGTTAATCAACGTGATTTTGTGGGCAGCTGCCCCGGGTGTTGGCGACGAGCAGGAGACTCAACAGCGAACGAAGGGAGCGCCTGAGCAGACCAAGGCACTTCAAGCTCAATCTGAGGTGAACAGCAGCAAGGCTCTCTCATTTATCAATATAAGATCAGAGTCATCAATATAAGAAATCGATCAATATAAGAAATTCAGTAACACTATAAATGTTTCGATAAGCTCATTGGTTTGGTTCAATACAAGAAATTCAATAACACTATAAATGTTTCGATGAGCTCATTGGTTTGGTTCAATATAAGAAATTCAGTAACACTATAAATGTTTCGATAAGCACATTGGTTTGGTTCTACGCTTGACCATAACATGAACGAACGAATCAAGTGTTCCTGCTAATGTAATTGTTAAAGCTTGAAGTTTCGATTGCCATGCGTTCTCAACGTCGCTTTGTTACAAATCAACGGAACTTTCCTACTTAGAAAATGGCTAAGCTTGCACGAAACCGGTCAAATATCAGTATTAAGCATTAAAATTCCTCCAGTGGTAACGTATCTTCAATGGTAGTATTTAGCCAGTTGCATCAAGAAGACAGTTATAGGCTAGTGATCCATTTACGTTGTATCTCACCGCGCGATAAAACGATTTCAGCGATCACAGATTTGACATTAAAGCATTTTCAGCGAAGTTTACCAGTGTTGGCCACAGTACTTGATGAAGTCGGAAGGTTCGTATCAGATCAGCTAATACAAAGCTCGTCTTGAAAATAATTGCTTTATCTCGACAGATGAGATGTATATATATATATATATTTTCATGTATTTTCCCGACGTTCAACATCAAACTGTGGTAAAACATGGCGCGGCCTTGCGACGCCTTTGCTTGCACAGTGAAGCAACCTCGTTGCGGGTGCAACACTTTGTACATACAAGGGATCGATCCCTGCATTGCTTTGTCGATTGTCTGTAGATTGTAGCATTCAATAATGTTTGGCATATAGTTTGTCATATACCGCAGTTTTTAGGAAGTAAAAATGGAAAAATAGTTACACATTTTTTTTCATGGATTTAGCCAAAATTTCATTTTCAATGTTCATGTTATTTAAGTGTCATTCGACTCAATCCAGTTCAATTTCAAAGCTCGCGAAGAATTTTTCCCCAGTAACACATATCACTTACAAATTGTCAGTTTAAAACGGATGTTTTTAGCGCATTTTCTCATTTATGGAAAAAATTTCATTTATTTTCCCGACGTTCAACATCAAACTGTGGTAAAACATGGCGCGGCCTTGCGACGCCTTTGCTTGCACAGTGAAGCAACCTCGTTGCGGGTGCAACCCTTTGTACATACAAGGGATCGATCCCTGCATTGCTTTGTCGATTGTCTGTAGATTGTAGCATTCAATAATGTTTGGCATATAGTTTGTCATATACCGCAGTTTTTAGGAAGTAAAAATGGAAAAATAGTTACACATTTTTTTTCATGGATTTAGCCAAAATTTCATTTTCAATGTTCATGTTATTTAAGTGTCATTCGACTAAATCCAGTTCAATTTTAAAGCTCACGATGAAATTTTTCCCCAGTAACACATATCACTTACAAATTGTCAGTTTAAAACGGATGTTTTTAGCGCATTTTCTCATTTATGGAAAAAAAGGCGATATTGTGCTCGTCATGTCCGTCCGTCTGTCTGTCCGTCCTTGACTTCAGGTTTTCGTCGACGAGAAAATGCGCTCTCTGTTACTCACTACAGTGAGTACTGAGTTATATTTTTTTAACAGGGGATATGTGGGGGCGCAAGCACTGAGCCAGACGACGGACAGACTGATGATGATGAAGCCATTTCGCTAGATCCCACTGAACCGAAGTGCTGCCAGACTCGTGGAGGAGTTGAAGGCGCCATGCAGAGTGGCAGTGGCGTAGAAGAAGTCTCGGCGTCGTGAAGACAACGAGTGGCACAAGTGAAGTTGTAGTGGCATCGAGAAGTGTTATCAATGTGAAGAAATTAACGTAGCACTATATTGGTATTGTACAGATGATCGCTTCTCAGTCCATACTATTGGTTGCGTCTAGATGTCCGATAGCGTAGTTAATGATTACTTCAAGCTTTTAAATAGGAATTGTTTAGTCTTGTTAGCTATTTCAGTGTTAGGCAAGTAGTACGTGTAATTCCGTACTAAAACTGCATGTCTCACGTACTAGTACACTGGTCGTGTGCGTATCGGTGTTTCCTCACCAGATTAGTAGTACCTAGTCTCACTATATACAAACCGTAATTATTTTAGTCACTTTCCTCCATGCCCTCACCGACGAACCTTGATATTCTTTCCCAAATGTTATAGATAATAATGCGAGGAATCGATTGTTAGAATACAACTTTGAACAAGCCTAGAGTCGAAGCATAAATATTAAGCTTCCAGTATAGAAAGATTGTTATGGCACCGCGCACAAGAGACGTTTGAGTTACGAAGCTATCTATATCAACATTTATGAGGTTAATGAGAGTAACTCAAACGAATTGGCCTGTGGAGTTCGTGTTTGAAAACGCAATGAGTGGCATAGTTAAGTTTCAAACTCTCATTTCGTTCTGTACATGATATACGTATTTACAACTGTGTATGTTGTTTTCCTTAGTGTCAAGTCCATTAAGTGACCATGTCATGCAGTTCGTGTATCGGCTAACTTCAGTCCAAGTTGTAGCTGCAGCTCGAGCCTCACGGAAAAATAGTGATCGCTAATAGTAAAAGCCACATTGTCAATACTAAGTTTTATTTAAGTCCTGAAGAATGGAAATTGCCTGCAATATACATACACACGAGTTGAGCGAGCTTCAAAGATGCTTCAATATAATAAAAAATGCCTTCATTGATTATCTACAAATAAAATGTTTTAGCTCTGTGCCCTCCTGAAGAACCATTATTGAACACGAGTTTTATCTGACCGGATAATCTCACAAAAATTACTATTTATTTTTAAACACAAATCTTATAAATTAAAAAATAACTTCGAAGTAGGCTCAAAACTTCAAAAAAATAAAACCAGAACTGCATTCGTACCATACCAAATAGATCCCAGGACATGAATGGAGCAGATTTTTGGACCGTAAAAGTAGTCAATGAATGATTTACTAACGTCTTCCGACGAGTGCCATGCTGTCAACAAGGGTAGAACATCGTGGCCTATACATTCTAAAACAGAGAAGTTTTCAAATTCTGCAATGACGTACACAGCTTGACCTTTCGTCTTTGTAACATTCAAGTGTAATTTACATCAACAATTATTCGTACACGTGCGCCCTCGGCCTTGTAGTCCTTACTCCATTTAGAAGCAATGTGTGGCACATCTAAGTTCAGCATAGTATAGAAGGGATCGGTTTGTTTCTAAAAAGCGCACTGATGAGTGGTAGTCGTCTGAAATCACAATGTATTTTCATCTGCTTATTTGTGAAGAGTTGAAGCAGTTCCGTTGCTCTTCATGACAGTTATTAACGGTCGAATCATAGTCTATCAATTGGATTTCATTATCCATAGTCAAAGGGTCTCTTTCTCTGCGTTTCAGAAAAATCCTACCGTTTTTGTCACAATTTTTAAGTATATTATTCAAGGTCAGTTTGCTTCTATTGCAGGATGACTTATCGAAAATTGAGAAGCTTCTAGCTACATCAGCCATTGACTTTTTGCCGAGAGTCTGAGGCACAAGCAGGGTCAATCGGTAAGCCCTAGGAGCTCTTGGCCTGACAATGAGCTCCGAGATTATTTGAGCTTCATCGTCTTCGTCATTTGAATCTAATGTTATTTCTTCGGGGACGTTGATTTCGTCGCAGCCAGAGAAGAGGGTGGCTGAGTTTGGACTCTGCAAAGAACTTCTCACTGGGCAGGTTGTTCTAGGGAGCGAAACTTGCGCTTTAGTAGATGAGAATGGCACAAGAACGTTTGTAAGCACAGGACTAACGTTTGTATAAGTGTGAACTGATGGTATTGATGATGCGCCAGGCGGCAGACTTGACTTTACCACAGATGAAGGCAGTATGAGAGAAGCGATAGGAGTCAAGATGCTTGAGTTCAATGAATTAGGTTTATCCGAAGATTTCCCTTGATTCTGGGAAGAAATCGTTGAGGACTCAGCAAGTTGTGGCTCCTTGTCCATTGATGTACTTATGCCCAAACTTGGTGAATCAGATAAGGATAACGTGCAGCAGCTTGAGTTCTGTAATAAAGGAAAAATATATGAAACCAAAATTGCTCCAAGTGAAAATGTTTTAAAAACTCGGTGTATTTTTGATACACGGACAGTTGTGATGAGTAAATTTTTACACTGAATATAAGGAATAAGCACATGAGCGACTTACCACTAACGGGTCACTGCAGGACTCTGGTGGTGAACGCTGATCTTTAGAGGATTCCTGGTCGATAAGTGGGTCATTGCAGGATTCCAGGTCGATAAGTGAGTCATCGCAGGATTCTGAAGCTGTGTAGCAGTCGGGTGTATATGATGCCTCGTGAGAGCCTGTAAAGGACGTGGTCATCTTGTAAGATCATCATAAATTACCAGTTATATATGCTTCAATTCAAAGTTGGAATAATCACGAAAGCAAAAATACTAATCTATTCTGCATCAACTCAAGCCAAGGAGTAAAATTTCGAAGTTAAAATTTGTCTCGTGAAACGAATTTGGAAAAATTATTCAACATGTAACAGCTCCTTCAGAGAAATGCCGCAATTAAAATTTGCTTAAAAACGGCCAGTTGAATGATTGAACTTAAATTCACCCTTAAAATATGACTGTCAAAACAAGCAATCTGAATAAGTGAATCGTACGAAAATTCATCAGTGATTTTTTTGGCTATATATATCGCGCGAATCGTGAATCAAACTTACTTGCCGTTTGGGAAGGAAATTCTCGACTTAATTTTGCAGTGGCACATAATATTTTAGGGTCCAGAGGCTCTAGCAGCGGTGACTTGGACGTCAGCACTGAAGTAGTGTTGGCACACTGAACTGCGTCACTCGTCAGTGAAGTAGTGGTGGCTGGTGTTGTTAAGGTGGCATTCGACCGTTGTGATTCAGGGGAATTTTCCGCCCGTGGAAAGGAAGAAAATATTTTCATTCCTTTTTCTGAAAGAAACGCGTTATTTTCTGAAGAGTGTTCCAGTGCAGAGTCTGATTTTTCACTTGATTTGTTGGTCATTGATGGACCTTTGGAAATTTCTGCAAATGACATTTTGGACTTCGTTAGGGGTTTAGAATCATTGAAGGCCTTCGATTCTGTTTCTTCCCTTTTGGAAACCATGGCATGACAAGAGAGTTCTAAAACAGAGGTTTTCATAATTTTCAATGTCAGTTTAGACGATAGTTGAGTATCCTCCGTTGAAAGAAAATTATAATTTCCTGCCGATGATGAGCCTGAGTCATTGGGAGATTTCACATTGCTTGCTGCATGATCCCCCGACAGTTTTGGCGCCTCAGACCAAGTTGTCACTTCAGTAATGGAATCTAACTTCTCTGCTGAACGAGAACCCAAAATTTCTCTCAAAGGCACAGTTGGCGGATTCCTGCGTTCTGATGGTGGTAATAGCGTCTCAGTAGATGATTTTGATTTGCATTCCAAGTCGATAGGAGAAATCGTAGAATTCGCGATGACAACATCGAAAGGCGACATTTTCGAGCTTCTTGGTTCATTTAATAATGACAAGACGGGATCGTAATTCAGTGGTTTTGGTTTGGTCAGCAGTTTTTCAGTGCCCAGAGCATCGTGTGAACCAATTGACGAGTCTTCGTATTCAGATCTCATATCTGATGAGGATGACTCAATATCAATAACGATGGGATTATTTGAGTCGATTATCAATGGATCCTCAAGACGACAGGACACCTCATTGAACGTGAGATGCATATTAGATGAGGATGGCTCATTGCTTGCACTCGTAGACGCTACAACTATCGACTCTGAGGCGACCTCTCCTTGCGTCAGTTGGTCAAAAGGAGGCGCCATCTGGTGTGTATTATCACTAGCGCACACAACTGAAAATAAATAGAGGTACATTCAAGTCAATCTTACAAGAAAAATAATAATTAAATAATGAGTCATAAAGAAGGCTTTTTGTTGCAAATTTAGCCAATTACTAGGTGAAATTCAACACTTATTTTATTCCAACATCCTAAACCAAAAGGAATATTCATCATCTTCAAACTAATTATATAATCCACTTAAAACTATTGGAATCTTATTCATGTCCATTTGACAAGATAGGGATTATTCAGAAAAACGCTGTCACAATGAATAGAGACGCATCACCTGTACGTTCATTGCAGAATGGATTGTCATTTAAAGGAGAAGTCGCACCTGAATCTTGGCTAGCAATTGAAGATGAGGCGGAACAATATGTTGAACTAAATTGCTTAGTACGGTCCCAAGCAGCTGTCTCGAGGGCGAGAAGTTGAAGGTAAAGTTCAGCCGAACACTTTACACTTAATGACATCGCTTCTGCGAAGGCAGAATTCATATCACTGGAGCTCAGCTTCTTAAGCACCAAGCGCGGGACAGCTGCACACAAATGATAATTTGATCGGGTCAGGGAAGATATCAACAGAATAGAAAAAATCTTAATTTAAAAGCGTCGTCCACACACAGACAGTCTAAGGCATGTGTGGCCATGCAGAACCCCAAATTAGCTGAAATTTGACAAAAAATTCAATTCAATTTTTTGATATCTGAATGCAGGAGGTTGCATAAATGATGAAATATAATTAATTAAAAAATTAAGTATAAAAGTTCACACAAATGCTGAAGTACATCTATACATGTATAGGTCCACTCAACTAGTAACAACAGGGTCACTTCCACTAGTGCACGATGCAAACAAACTTAACTAGCTTCAAATTTTTGCTGGATTTCAAAATTGGATTTTCGTAACTACAAATCTATATTTTTTAGTATTTTGCTAATCAACATCAAGTGGTCTAAAAAGAAAAAAATGTCGTCATCATGGTCTTCGATTTTCTCAAAATTTTAAATGCAGCATCAGACATGTATTAAATAAACTTCTCCAAGATTTCAGGCCTCTAGCTGCAATACCCGGTAGTTGCTGATCGAAACCCCTTGTCTAAAGGGTAGTAAGTCGCCATACGTGCAACATCAAACAAAATGCAATTTATGGGGTCACATTACATAAAAAAAGTCTGTTTAAAAAATACCTCACAAATTTTTATTCACAATTAAATTCAGGCCAACAGTTTTGTAGTTATTTGTTTTGAAATTTTGTCAATTTCTCCATACATGCTGACATACTAAATTTGTACATGTCCTTCAGGGCGTCTACAAAGCCTGGGTAGCTGCAAATCTAGCTGTATTTTGTCCAGCACAACCATAAAGCTTAGTTACGAGTTCAAGTCCTTATCATTATCAGCAAGGAAATCATTGCAGTCTGAATATTGGTCAAATTTGTCACAAATGACAAATTTTGAGACACTCTGATCTATGACTGAAATTTTCATCAGTAATGATAGAGTTAATTTGGTTGAAATCTGCACACAAAACTATACAGGGTTTTGTCATACTAGTCATACTTTTGAATTATTTGTGGTGATGAGAACCTAAAAATGGCATTTTGTTCCATGTTGCACACATGAAAACTGACAAACCTACAGACAAGAGGGTCTAGAATCTAGATCAACAACAATTGCAGCTAGAAGCCTGAAATATTGGGAAGATTAATTTGATCCTAGTCTAGTGCTGGTTTAATAAAGTTAAGAAAAATTAGACATGATGGTGGGAAAGTTGAGACCAATTGGAATTGAATGTCCCAATTAAACTAGAGTAGAACTCACCCATTAATGACCTTCTTCTTACTTTTGATGTTCCTTTGGCTTGGTCGTGAAGCTTAGCTTTCAGTAAAGATTCCTTTGCTTCTTGCTTCAGCATTATTTTCCGCAGGTCATTATTTTGAAGAGTTCTGTTATGCAGTTTATGCATTTTATTTTGGTGCTTCTTGTCTTTCGTGATTTTCTTCCTTTTTTTAGGAGCAGAAGCTGCTATCTTTTTGGGAATAACACTCTTGAAAACAATAGGATATTGCTTAAAAATTTCGGGTGATTTATCAGTATAATATTTGTCATAGTCACTATCGCACTGTACAGATATTTGCGACACAACGTATTTAGTTGTTTTCTTTGTATCATTTTTCATTTCACTTGGAAGAAAGTCGTCAAATGACGAAATTACTCCTTCAAGTGCTTTATTAATATCTACTGGAGTGCGTTTCTTAAGAGGAGGCATATCGTCATCAGAAGATAGTAAGTCACTGTCATATATATTTTCATAGTAGTGATATTTCTGCTTGACAAGTTGATAAGACTGGGCAGCTTGGATTTGGGACTCTTTAGTTTTACATCTTGCCACAGTTGAACAGTTATGAGAAGGCTTAGTGGGACACAAGTCATCGAGTTCATGTTCATTGAATATTGCTTTTCTCAACTTAGCAATCTTACTTCCAGATTCCACAGATGAAGGAAATCCACAAAAGTCGTTGACCGGATTTTTCACAGGGCTGTTTTTAAACATTTCACTCGGCAAAATGGGATTAAATTGTTCAAAGAGCGACATCCTCGGCTTTAAATTAATATACATGGAAAAGTAATCATGACCATCATCAGGCTTCTTCCTTGATGGCAATTTTCGTTTATTTACATGATTCTTTGATGAAATATTAGCAGAGGATGAGCTAATTTGATTTGCACAAAATACATCCAAAGTCTGTTCAGAATGCATCACTGGGGCGCCAGAGGAGTCTTTCATGATTCAGTTTAAAAATTGAGGCTAATCACTTTATAATGGTTAAAAGCAAGAACAACAACAAATAAAATATCTGAAAAGAGGAAACTAAATTAATTATAATCTCTTAACCTATCTGCCTTGTAAAACACTTCATAGAGAGTTGCAAAAGCAATGTACATGCAAAAATAAATAATTCTACAGAAGGAAGTGTTGGTGTTCTTAACAAATGTATCCACAATGGTCTTCTCTCGAAAATATATATATATATATACATATATATATATTATATGCGTACAATTTATGACCAGAGAGTGCATTTGAATTTTCAAGGAGTTGAACAATTCTTAGATGACGTTGGTAGATCAAAAGGCAGATTTAGCAAATAATAATATATTAACTCAGACTTCTTCAAAGTCTGGATCGCTGCATGAAAGCAATGTCATTTACAAATTTTTAATGCTTGAAAGAAGGTTGTAACTTCTCCAAAATGTAAATTACATCGGTTTGACCAGCACGACATTGAGGCACAGACTCACATGCCATCTGCAAGCTGGAGGCCCAAAGAATCATATGCGGGAGGCCCACGAGACCATCACCCGTGGTGCAAGAGGCCTGCACCAGCATCGTCATGCGGTGCCCCGACGCTACAAGACTGTCAATAGAGGAGGCTCTCATAATCAAAGACGAGGCTTGATAGAGGAGGCTCTTTTCACAATGTTCAAAATATTAGTAAGCAAAAGGCTTTAGGAAAATTCTTTACATTCAAACGAATTATGAATGAGGAGATTACAATGAAGCTATTTTATATTGGTATATACCATCAAACAGGGTAATAAGGGACAGGTGGGGTAATAAGGGACCCACATACGTTAGTGAATTTCATAGAAATATTGTAGCACACTATCATACTTACTATCTACGTAGCATAAAGCAAGTGAAGAAATCATACATTTATTACCTTTAAAAAATCCCTGAAAAAAGTGTGAAAAGTGAGATTTTTATAAAGTACCTCTGCTAAGGTCTATAGCAAAAAAAACTTTGCCATATTAAAAATTTTACTTACATAGAAGTAGCACACAGGTGTTGGCCTAAAAACAGGATTGACTGACTTTGCATACCTCATTCCCCAAAAAATGGCAGTCATTTCTGCACGACGGGGTTAATAAGGGACACCCCCAAAAACGCATTTACAGTAAAACCTCTGTTAGCAAAGGCTCCAGTTAACAAAAAAATCAAATAACAGCATATAATTTTGATTAAATTTAAATCATTCAGTGAAAAAAAATCACCTAATGAAAAATTAACGCGTCAGTCATCACAAATTGTGATGACTGATCCATCCATTACCAATGGTAATGGATGTGTACTCTGCATGCTTCAAATGTTTTAAAAGTGTTTTATTTCAAGTGTCACTTATTACCCTGTTGCCAGGCTTAATTCAGGATGCTTTCATTTTGCGTCTGGCACGTTACAAACAGCATATGGAATTTTTTAGAGATGCCATATGATAGCCCTCGCAAAGACCTTAAAAATGAGCCCAAACTCGTTTATGAAATGTTTCATGTTAAGAAGTTATCAAGAAAAAATACTCAAAACCGTCCTTTATTACCCTGTTTGATGGTACAGTCCTATTTTGCTTTTTAATGATTGAGTAGTGAACCAAATTGGTATTCCATCAAAAATTTAGAATATTTAGTCATGAAACTATAAAAAAATTGGAAGTTGATCCACTTGGCAAGAACATCTGTTCAAACCTGTTTGGACTAGATTCATTTGACCCAAATAAGCATCTTGCATGAAGAATTAGGCAATCGGGAAGATTCGTGTTCACCGATTTTTCCTCTTGGTGTTGTACAATGCACTATTTAACATTTAAACCTTCCAGATCAGCCCAAAGAAAGCCAGTAGTGAAAGGTGGACAAAAAGATAGAGAAAAAACGAGACAAACTATTAAAAAAAATATCTCCAAAACGTAAGATCATTTCCTTAGTCAATGATCCATCTCTAATCTACTTGTTAAAAAAGGTACAAGATTAAGGCCCCTCCTTTGCAATTTAGGTAAATTTTAGCATCAAACCAATGATTAAGATGACTGAATCTTGCGCATCAAAAACACCATTCCTAGAACTTCGTCTTGCTTTGGTGGACGTTAGGTAGTCCATTGAATGCCCAACTAAGAAAAGTACAGCAATAACCTTTGAAACCTTAGTGCAACAATAACTGGCCTTAGCTACAGAAATTAACTGTAGCACCTGGCAAGTCCTCTCATTTTACCTGACACCCATCACCTGAGAAGTACAGCAATAACCTTTGAAACCTTAGTGCAACAATAACTTGCCTTAGCTACAGAAATTAACTGTAGCACCTGGCAAGTCCTCACATTTTACCTGACACCCATCATTATTGCACACATCCTTTCACCACAATCTGTAATGATAAGATCCCCTTGAAAAAACTCCAATATCAAAAAAGTCACTTGTATTGCCTATACTTTCTCCTCTATAGTCAGCCTAGGTTTATACATCCTGAAAGCCATGGATGGTGTTACTGGAAAGCAATCTTGCTCATTTTCAACTTAATCTATCAGTGCTATTAATTAAACCTTCTTCATGATCAATGAACTTTTCCATTCAATGTTGTTTCTGAGCTGATATAATGAATTAATTTTAACCAAGTCAAGTCATTGACTAATATGCTGCCACCATTGCTCCAAGATTCACACTGCAATTCTGTTGGGTGAGTTCACAGCTATTACCAATGTTCAGTTAGCTCTGAACAAGTATTTCTATTAATTTCTACAGCTTTATTTACCATTGCATTACTGCCAAGCATTATTTAACTAAAACCTAATATCATCTATATAACTTTCTTCGCTCAAGTTCATAGACTTAATGGTTAGGCAGTTCTTACTTCACCTTTATACACAATTGTACTCAATTCATTGATTTAAATTAGATTCAAAAGTGTTGGTTTGTATTTTAATTGAATTTCATCATGACATTATTCTACACATTTTGGCTGTTAATTATTAATTCACAATTCCTTAATTGCCTCAACGATTTGAATTCCTTTGGTTTCAGCCTGATTGTAAGTCCTGTTCTCATGGTATTTGAAGAAACATATAATTTATTTGTAACACTTACTGCCAGTTGTTGGTTTCTACCATAAATTTTATGTTGTTTGCCCTATTTTCCAGTAGGGGGAAGCACCAACTTATCCCATTGGTATTTAGTTTCTAGTTTTTGACTTGAGCAGGTTCTATCCGCTCCTACCACGTTATAGTAAACCTATACCAGAAGACAAAAGCTTTCATTCAACCCCACAATCGTGACAGTACCGTGCTGTCACAATGAACTTCTAGCACATAGCGTGGTAGATTATAATTTTGGTGTAGCATTGAAGTACAATAATTATACTGGTGGTAGCATGCATTATTATTTTATAGCTTTCAGCTGCCTGATGAACAGTCACACCTTTGCAATGAATGAGTTGCACACACCATCAGTGTAGTGTGGTATACATACCATCAGTGTGGTGTGATATACCTCCCATCACCTGTCTATGCTACCCATTCCCAAAATCATGATCTGTTTCCTATTCTATTATGCTTAAACTTAACGTTTAACACAAATTCCACAATATTATTATCCATTTGTATTTCAGGCTTGCAAGTGGCTTTTAACCATTTCACGGGTAAGTTACCATATATGATCACTTGAAATCGCGTCACAAAAAGCCTCACCATGGCTTCCTGTTTGTTTTTGAGGCATCCTTATAATGCCTCAGTCAATCCCTAATTATCTGACCATCGTTCTATCTATAGCATCACCAGCTGCAAAGTCCACAAATTAAAATATGAGCATTTAAATGAAGGTTTTGACTTGGACAATGGAATTGATGCTCTTTCCGCATTTTCTTCAAAATTTGGAAGCATCAATATATATATTTATTTATTTTGGCAACTTGATTAAATTTAATTAAATTAAATTTTTATGTTTCTAATTTTTCATTTGCATAAACTGAATTCTAAGTATAAAGAAAAATTTTGTGTACTGATTGCATTTATTGAATTCTTCAAGTGCAATTTAAACCTTCAATAGGCAAAATTTGCAAAAATTCATATAAATAAATATATTGTATAATACTTCTTACTTTCTTGAAATGGCTTCTGAAATTTTAATTTCTGGATATTTCAATGCTTGCCCGCTAAAGGGTTAAATATTATAAACTAGATGTCTATTCAACTTCTTTTATCATAAAAAAGGTTCTAAGTAGAAGTTAGTAATTGTGGTTCTGGTCCTTTTCTTTCCATAGCAGGATTTTAGTACAGAATTTACAAAAAAAGGAATACAGATTTACATTTGCATCTTTCTACTTGGATTGACACCATTCATTCAGAACTTGGGCATTGAGACTCCATCCAAATCATGGCCAACACTCCAACCTAGACCTCATTTGAATGCAGTATGCCAACAGTGGCAGATTGAATATATCTATTCTTTCCATGCATTTTAAAAAGTGTATAGGATGAAGGAATTTGAGTAAAGACATGTAAAGAATGAAGGAATTTGAGTCCATTTACAGGCAACTCCACCCCTTCTCTGAGTTTAGATTTTAAATACTCTTAACACGTTGGCCGCGATTGCTGATTTGGGCCCGAATGCCGTACGGGTGATAGGTTCAAACTTGTATATCTTCAGTTACCCGGCAGATAGCAAGGAGAAAAGTTGTGTGCAGCTCTGTAGGGCTATGTTCTGTCATTGTGTCACATAAAATTAGTGGCCGCATTTGGTGCACATCGCTCAGGGGTGAAATTCGTCATTATTCCTGGCGATGTGTACCAAATGAAGCCATGCCTGTTGTGGCTCATATTGGCTCACGCCGCCTATCGTAATCACTTCTAATACTATGGGCGATGTGTACCAAGCAAAGACATGCATCTATGGCTCATATTGCCAAAAAAAACCTAAAGTTATCACTTTTATCACTGTGAGTGATGCGCGCAAGAAATCTACATTAGTTTTGAGTCATAATTGCACACATTATGGCTATTGGTATCTCTTAGCTTATTTATACAAAGATAGATTTATAT